CGCGCTCCTCCGCGCTCCTCCGCGCTCCTCCGCATCCCCCCGCGCCCCTCCGCTCTCCTCCGCATCCCCCCGCGCATCCGCCCGCCCGGGGCATCGGGGAGCGCTCCCTGGACCGGGCAGGGACGGTCCCCCCTGGGCTCGGCACTGATGAAGCCGCATCCCGAACCCTGGGCGCAGTTTTGGGCCCCTCGAAAGGAGGACATTGAGGGGCTGGAGTGTGTCAAGAGAAGGGGCTGGAGAAACAGTCGGATGAGGAGAGGCCGAGGGTGCTGGGGGGTTTAAACTGGAGAAAGGGAGGCTCGAGGGGACCTGCTCGCTGTCGCCAAGTCCCCGACAGGAGGGTGGAGCCAGGTGGGGGTCGGGCTTTTCTCCCAGGTAACAAATGACAGGACAAAAGGAAACGGCCTCAAGCTGTGCCAGGGGAGGTCTAGGTTGGATTTTAGGGAAGATTTCTTCACTGAAAGGGTTGTACAGCCCTGGCACAGGCTGCCCAGGGCAGTGGTGGAGTCACCAACTCAGGAAGAGTTCAAAAACCATATGGCTGTGCCACTTGGGAACACGGTTTAGTGATGGCCTTGGCAGGGCTGGGGTAATACTTGGGCTTGATCTTAGAGTTTTTTTTCCAACCTCAGTGATTCAGTGCTGGCCTGAAAACACTGGGCTGGTGTTGCCCTGGGCCAGCTTGGGAAGAGCCCAAAGTGCCACTAAGGCCAGTGGCTTCCCAGGACAACAAAAGAGGACAAGGCTGGGGCTCCTCTCTCCTTCGGGGCACCTCAGCAGTGTGGCATCAGGTGTCCCTGCCCTCCATCCCCGGGACAGACGGCAGACACAGGTGGGATGCAAAGCCAGACCCCGACGGCTGCAGAGGGATCCGCCCGGCGCCAAAGGGAACACTCAGAACTTTTATTTTTCTCACCGTGATCTTGTTCCGCGATAATGGTCTGCGCAAAAGTTCCCGTCTCAGCCACCTTTTCTCGCAGCCATTAGGAGCCCTAATGGAAGCCCGGGGCGTGCTGCGGGCAGGCAGAGCCTCACCTCCGTGCCCAGGTCCATTAGCCAGCGAGCCCCGTGCCGTGTCCCAAAACAGCCGTGACGGGAAGGGGAGGAGGTGCTGCCGCACTCCTGGAGCAGGAACGGCGCTGAATTTTCTCTGGGCTGCAGTGACACAGGGCACACGTCCTGGCAAAGCTCACCCCAGGGACTGGGCATGGCTTTCCCGAACTGGACTGATTGGTTTTTGGGTGTGAGAGCAGCTCACCTGCAGCGATGCTGCCTGCACGTCTAAGATGCCACAGCCTGTCACCTTCAGGGCCCCTTAAATGCTCCCCATCCCCATCCCGCCCCCTCTGCAGCGCTCCCGGCCCGCAGCACGAAGCAGCAGAGAGGAGGGGAAGCAGGAGGCTTTGCAGGGCACGGGGACATCCCAGGGGAGCCTGAGAAGATGCCAGCAGTGCCTGTGGGTTGAGGCGTTAGGGCTGCAGAGCTGGCAAGAGAGGCAGGAAAAATACCGGCGGAGCGGGCAGGGCAGCGCTGCGGGAGCGGCGTGCGCGGCTCTGCTGATGCAGCAGAAGGTGCCTTGGCGGGCGGCGGGGAGGGATTCAGGGAGGGGAGGGATTCAGGGAGGGGATGGATCCAGGGAAGGGATGGATTCAGGGAGGGGATGGATTCAGGAAGGGGAGAGATTCGGGGAGGGGATGGATTCGGGGAGGGGATGTATTCAGGGAGGGGATGGATTCAGGGAGGATGGATACAGCAAGGTGATGGACACAGCGAGGGGAGAGGAGCTGCAGGCACTGTGTGGGGACGGGAGGAGGAGCGCAGCGTTTGCTGGAGCATCACTAATTGTGAGGGGGCAGGCAGAGGGATCCTCGGGGCTGCAGGGACGCCTGTCACCCCCGCAGGGCTGCCTGGTGGCTGCTGGGGCCAGAGGCACAGGTGCAGGTGAGTTTGAGGCCAGCATGCAGCACACAGGACCTGCAGCAACGCGGACTTGGAAGAGCAGCACCCCTACCCTGGTGCAGGGATACCCCTCCCAGGATGCTCAGGTGCCTGCCAAGTTCGCTTGCATTTGGGATGCAAGTTGGGATGCATTTGGCTAAACTGCCACTGAGAATCTTGCCAGCAGAGCCCTGAATCCTTCTGGAGGCAGGAAGGCTGGGAAACCTGACTGCAAGGGTTGGCCAGTAAACATGACAGAGCTCCTGCGGGCATGGCACAAGCGGGGTGCACTGGGCAGGTGGGCACCCCGCTAATTCGGTGCTGACATGGCCCTGCAGCCACATCTCCCTGCTGAGCAGGGTGGCAGCCTGGCATCCCCGTGCCCGGGGAGCTGTGCCCACGCAGCCCCGCTGCTGGCAGCAGGGCGCTGGCTGTCACCAGCCTGATGGAGCTGTCACACTCGGCAGCTCCAGCCGGTCTCCTCGGCCGACTGATCCCGTGGGACAGCTGCCACTGCCGCGGGCCGGGGCAGGGCTCTGCTCTCCCCAGCCCTGTGACAGGAAGGGCACCGGCAGCAGCTGGCCCTGGCATTTCGGCAGGACACGGATGTCCGGTGTGGGACCCGGGGCTCCTGCGGCTCAGCGGAAACTTGTCCTGCTGAGCCCAGCACCAGGCTGCTGCATCTGCTTCCAGGGAGGGCGAGCACCCTGTGCTCGGGCACTGTCACCTCTCTGGGGACAGGAAGGAGGGCTCAGCGTGCTGCCAGCTGGCTCACAGCCTGCCGGGGGCACAGTGGCTGCCTGTGTACCCTCAGTCCCTCTCACCTTGCACTGGCGGGGCTGGGAGGGTTAATGCCTGCTCTCCGAGGAGGGCTCCTGCCTCCCTCCACGTGGCCACCGACCAGGTAGGGCTGAGCAGAGCAGTTGGGCTGCAGCTCCAGCGCAGCAGGCACAGCGCTGGCCCCGGCTGCCCTGGAGCATCCCGCTTCCCCCGGAGGACAGCCCCAGCCTCCTCCCAAACGCGCCCGAGCCAGACGATGCTGTGCTCCCGGATCAGGCAGAGCCCTCCTGCCGATGGAGGGGGAGGAGGAGGTGGCAGCGCTGGAACAGAGCTTCCCATCAGCACCTTATATTTACTGCAAGGTCCTCTGGCTGTGACCTTTAAAAGACAAAGTGGCCTGGCATCCCTGCAGCTGGCGGTGGGCAGGAGGCACCGCAGGGATCAGGCTCTGCAGGACTGTCCTGGCCGGGCTGGAAGCTGAGCGAGAAGTCCCGGGCACAGACTGCGGGTGAGTACCCGGCTGCTGCTTTTGTCATTCCAGCTCTCGGCTGCCCGCAGCTCTCCCTCGGAGCGGTGCTTTCCCCTCTCCCTGCGCTGCCGCTGCCTGCTCGCCCCCGCCCGCGGAGCTGCCTGCCCTCCGGAGCGCACAGCCTCCTCACCCCCTTCCACCGGCCCTTTGAACAGGCAGGGGAAGAGCGGCCGCGTCCCCCGGCAGCCACTGCAGAGCATCTGCAAGAATCGCTCAGGCAGCCCTGCTGTATCCCAGGAGAAAGTTTGATCCTGACCCGGCAGAGCCCGCGGCCACCTCCACAGAACCCTCGCTATTCTGTCCCCTCAGAGCTGCCCTTCACACCCCTCACTGCCCGAGGCTGTTCCCTTGCCAGGTGCTCTCTTTACTTCCCAGCCCCTTTCCAGGTGCTCTGTTTACTTCCCAGCCCCGGGAGCAGGGCAGCGTTGCAGGGACCGTGGCTCTGGACTCTCCCTGAGACACCCCAGCAGTCCCCTGTGACTGCACAACACCAGGCAGAAGTCCCTGCCACCTCCCAGCCCCTCTCGTGCTCTTTAACACCTGTAATCCCAGCTGGCCCAGGGAATTTCAGTGTTCTGTAACAAGGAATGTCCACGGTTCTGGAGAAGCTGTGAAGCCCCAGTGCTGGGGGGTTCTGTCACTGCCCTCAGTCCCCTGCAGCGAGGAGAACTCACCCTTGTGTCCCACGGGGTCTGTTCTGTGATCCCACTGCTCTCCTCAAGTTTTTTGCCAGCAACATCCTAACGAGCATCCTAAAAATGCGGAGGGGTCCCCCACCCCTTTGCCCGTGGCTGTACTGACCCCTGAAGCTGGGTGGGGATAACCCCACGTCCTCCTCCCTGCACGGGAAAGTTGTTCCCAGGGATCGATTTGCTGCACTCCCCAGCGCTGCAGGACTGTGTCAGCAGGACAGCAGAGGTGATTTGGGTGCCCTTCCTCGGGGAGGGAGAGGTGCCACGGGGAGCTGGAGGTTTTCCGCAGCGCTGACCCCACGCTGAGGTGCCCAGGGCGCAGTGCCCGGCAGGGACAGGGACAGGGACACCGGGAGAGCTCATCCCACTGCCACTTCTGCTGGGGACATAGGGGGCTGAGCGACGTGGGGGGCTGGGGAGGGGGTAAAGCAGGGCTGGAAGGTGGTAAGAGGTGCTGGCAGTGCCTTGGGGCCAGACCCCGCCTGTGTGAGGAATTGGGATGCACTGGAGCCCCGAGTGAAGGGCAGCAGAGAGAGGCAGGGTGGAGGGCAGCTCTCAGAGCTTCCCTCGTGTCTCCAGGGTGGCTGAGCTGATGGATGTGTCCATTAACTGTGCCCCAGTTGTGTCGTGCTGCTCCGGAGCATCCCCACGGCGTTGCTGGAGCGGGAGAACAATCAGCTATGGGTGTCCATCGTGCCCTGGGCTCTGCTGGAGCCTGCTGAGCCTTACCTGCCACGAGCTGCCATCAATGCCAGCTCTGTACAAGCACAGTGGAGAGGCTGACAGGCCACAGGTCCTGGAAGCCCCACAGTGGGTGTGGAGCACCCCTGGAATCTCCCTGTGGGAAGGCTGGGGCAGCACTGGCTGCGCTCCCACCCCCGGGGCCACCTCCCAGGGACAGAGCTGTGGACACACAGGGTGCCCTGGGCTCCCTCAGCACCCAAAACACCCCAGCAGGACCAAGCTCCACTCCGGAGCGGGCTCACCCCCCAGGCAGAGCAGGTGAGGGGCCTGTCCTGCCCCTCCGGGCTGCGGCACAAAAGCATCGAGGGCAAAGTCGGTGTTTTGTTGTTCTTTTGTTTGTTTGACTGTACAAAGAGCAATAAAAACATCCCACGCTCGGCAGGGTGCTCGGCCAGAGAAGCCCGGGGAAGGCGCAGAGGCAGAGCAGCCCCTCCCGTGTGAACAGATCTGGATTTGTCAGCTCTGCTGGGCACAGCCACGTACAGACAGATGCATTGGCAAGTTGCAATCCAAGGATAGTGCACGAGAAGAAATGAAAGGCAGATGCAAGACTGGTGGTGTGCAACACTCGGAGGCCTCCGTGCCCCCGAGGTGCTGGCTCAGCCCACCAGGAGCCGGGGACAGCCCGGTGCTGGCGGAAAGTGGCGCGGAGCCCTGCGGCACCGCTGGCACTGTGCGGGGTGGGGACAGCCCGGCCCTCCCGGGGCAGCGGGGCCCAGGGAAGGGAGGCAGGCGTGGGACACGGCACATTCCTGCTGCGGATGGGAGGGGAGCAGCGTGGAGCCCAGCGGGGTCGAGTGGGATGGACGGGGCACGTGGGGCCGGGGTGGAAAGCGATGGGGCAGAGCGGGGAGGGCACAGCTGTCCCGCCATCCCTGGGGCCTGATGGCAGTGCCACGGTGGCACCTACACAGGGACGTGGCAAAGGTGTCCCTTCTCCCCTGGCAGTGCTGCTCGTGGGTGACAGGACCTCCATCACCTGTCCCTGGGCAGTGTCCCCTGTGGCTCCGGGCACTGTCCCCCTCCTGGCAGCCACGGGAAGAGAAAAGTTCAGGCCTGGTGCCACAGGGGACACTGCCCTGGGTCATTCCCTGCTTGAAGCCCCGGTGCTGCAGCCAGCACAGCTCACCTGCCAGGTGAGGCAGGTGGCACAGGGGGCTGGGCACGCTGGCAGTGCATTGCCATGGCAGTTACAGTGTGCAGTGCTCTGCAGGGAGGCTGCAGGAGGCAGTCTCAGCATCGCTCCAGGGTGACAGAGCTGTCCTAACTCTGGGCCTGCTCTTGTGCCCAGTCCTTCCCAGCAAGTGCCCAAAAGCTCCTCTCCCTTTCAACAGCTCCTTGTCCCGAGCAGCCTCACCCCAGCACTCCCCACCACCCCAGTTTGACATCAGCAGGACATTTTCCACCACAATCACCCTTCCCAAGAAGGAAATGAGCACAAAAAGGTCAGCCCAGCATCTTGGGCTGAGATGCTCAGACCCCAAACCAGCCCGAGAGGCAGAAGGGTCAGTCCCTCACACACCAAGGGCTGTTAATGGTTCCAAAACACTGCAAAGCTCCAAGACACTGGGTGGGCTCATGGCCTTGACTCCTGAGCAGCCCGGGACAGTCCCTGAGGAGCACGAGCTTGCAAGGAGGAGACTGGCAGCTCTCAGGATCCCTCGGGATGGGAACATGATGGGAACACCAGTGCCAGTGGCTCAGGCACAGCAGGAGCACCTGGGGATAAGTCCTGACCCCAAGGGCAGACTGCTGGCCCCTGCTCACATTTTCCACTGGGACAGAGAGCAGACAATGGGGCACGGGGCTGGCCAGACCCCTCTGTCCCTCCTGGCACCCCCTGCTCCAGGCCCTCCATGTGTGGGGGCTGCACAGGGCCCCCCCTCACCCACCCCCAGCCCGTCCCCAGCACCTCCTCACAACGCTGGCACTCAGAGCAGGGGACAGGCTGGTCCCAGCTCAGCCTCAGGGGCTTCAGCCCCCCTCCCCAGCCCTGCCCAGCACAGCCAGGCTCCAGGGACCTTCTCTCTGCGCCCTGCTCCAGGCTGGGTTGGGTGTTTGCATGGAAGGAGGGATGCTCTGGGGAGACAGAAATCCTTGCTCTGGGAAGCACATCAAGAGGGGCACACTGTACAGGGGACAGGAGGGAGGGGCGGGCAGGGGGCCTTTACTTGGTGCCCTCATCCGGGTTGCCTTCGCCGTCCGTCTTCCCTTCCTCCTCTGTCTTCTGGTCGTCCGTGTTGAGCCTCTGCTGCTTTTTCCGGCGCACGCATTTCACCACCATCAGCACCAGGATCACCACGGCCAGGAAGCCGCCCACCGAGGCGCCCACGATCACGGCGACCGTCGAGTCGTGCTTCGGGGGCTCTGGGGACACAGGGCACGGGCTCAGGGCGCGCAGTGGCCGTGGGGACACCAGAGCTCTGCGAGCAAACCCTGCCCCCGCGGGTGCCCCCAGCGCGGGCACCACTGACCTTTGGTGAGCACCTTCAGGCTGATCTTGCCGTGGCCCCGGTGCCGGTCCGGGGGGTTCAGCACGTAGCAGTTGTAGGTGCCCTCGTCCTCCAGCTGCACGTTTTTGAGGGTGAAGGACACGTCGTACTTGGCGGGGTTGCCGGTGAACTCCACGCGGTTCCCGAAGCGGTCCAGCTGCTTGTTCATGATCTTGGTGCGGAACTGCAGGAACTGGGCAGCCGTGGGGACAGCAGGTGAGGCAGCGTGTGGCACCCCACGGGCTCGTTTCCCAGCCAGCACCCCCCTCCCTGCACGTGCTGCCCTGTAAGAAACCCCAAGCAACGCCCCTCGAGCTGGTGCCAGGACCCCAGCAGATCCCCAGCGAGACTCACCAGCTCCTCCGAGCAGTTACTGCACTCCTGGTACGTCCAGTTGAGGGAAAACTGCTTGTTCTCCACCTTGTAGCAGGAGTTGAAGGTGCAGGAGAGCTTCACAGAGGAGCCATTCAGGGCATTGATGATGGCAGGGGCCATGACCTCCATGCCCAGTCTCGGGGGCGCTGCCGAATGCAGATGGATTTGGGGGTGTCACAGGCAGCCACCCTGACAGCTGAGCCCACGTCCCCATGCTGCCCTGCCTGCACAGAGCTCTCCTTGGGGCCTGGCATTGCCTTCCAGGCACACCCACACACTCTGCATCCAGCCAGGACCGGAATTTCCCTGCTCAGCAGGAACAAGGGGAGCAGCCCTGGCACCGTCCCCGGGCTGGACGGGCAGAGCATCGTCCCTGCCGTGCCAGGGCTGATGACCCTGCTGTGCCATGCCGGTGCTGCCTGCAGGCCAGCCCCGCTCCCGGCCGTCCCCCGAGGCTGTGCTGCTGCGGGATCGATGGCGCTGTGCGAGGCTGCAGCGTCAGCAAGCAGGGCCGGCGCCACAGCCACAGGCAAATGACGGCTGAGCTCATCACACTGCATTCCCAGCAGGACACAGCGAGGGCTGGCATCTGCCGGGGCCGCCCCCGGTGCTCCCGGGGAATGCAGATGCTTTCCTCTGCCAGCAAGGATTCTCCAGCTGGGAATGACCAGCAGGAGATCCAGGTCTCTGCTGGGGAGCAAGGCCAGTCCCTGATCCCTGGACTTGCTGGGGAACAAGGCCCGTCCCTGATCGCTGGCCTTGCTGAGAAAGAGGGGCAGTACCTGGTGCAGCTGGCAGGGCAGGACTCACCTGGGGAGGGCAGGGATGGGGTGTCTGTGCCCTGCTCACTCCTCCACTCCTTCCCTGAAGCTCCCCTCAGCAGCACCCAAACCCAACACCTGCATTGGTCCCCAGGCTGGGCAAGGGGAACAGGCTCCTGTGCAGCCAAGCTGGCTGCAAACACCAGGCCAGGCCCTGAGGAGCACAGGGACACGGGGACAGCGAGCCCTGGGAGGGACCAGAATGTCCTGGGGGGGCCGTGACACCCTCCAGGGCAGGCACAGGGACACTGCCACCAGGTGCTTTATTGATCACCTCACCTCTCCCCTTGGGCTGCTGCTCTTTGCTCTCAAACCTTCTTGCCGAGGCCAAGCTGGGCGCATGTCAGGGCTGCTCCGCTGCGCTCCGCCTGCAAGCAGGGCAGGAAAGGGGCCAGGCTCTGCAGCCAGGGACAGGAGCCTTGCCCGAGCTGCAGGCACAGCCGTGCCAAGCAGCTCCCACTGCCACCCAGCAGCACCCTGAGGCTCCTGGGGGCACAGCGGTGCCCTCGGGTATGGCCAAGGCCTGGGATGGCTCCTGGCTGTGCTGGCAGCCATGGGGACACCCCACACCCAGCCCCAGAGCAGGGAGGGCTCCCACAGGGCTCAGGGACACAGGGATGGGCACAGCTGGTGCAGGGGGATGGGTCACAGCACCTCAGGCAGGAAGAAGTGTCCCGAGGCAGGGTCACAGCCTTGCTGCCCCGTGGCAGCCACCACCTTTGATGCCTCCAAGAAAACCTTGCAGGGATGGGACAGAAGAGCCAGGAGCTGGCCTGTCCCAGCAGGAGTGGTTGGAGGGGATCCCTGCATGGAATCATTGTCTGAGTGGCCCTGACACGGGGCCCTGTGTGCCTGCAGGTGGGTGACCTGGCCTTGTCTCTTGTCCTCAGGGCTCTACAGAGGGATGAGGTGCCACCAGCAGCAAACCTGTCACCACCCCAAGCAGGGACACCACGGCCTGGCAGGACCTAGGGGCACCCAAGTGGGTCCAAACTTTGTCACTGGCTGGGCACTCGGCCCTGGGGGATGACAGAGCTGGGGGAAGAAACCCCCAGAACCCCCAGGACCATCCAGGCCGTGTCCTGCAGCGCTGTGCAGGCTCCCAGCGCTCTGTCAAGCTGCACCCAGGCTCGGGGGACAACTACAGCAGCCCTGACTGGGTTTTGTACCCTCCTTTCCCAGGCTCTCTCCTCGGGGACAAGCAGCCCGGCAGGAGCTCCGGGATGGTGTTCAGAGGAGCGACCGATGCGGCCGCGGAGGGAGCTGCTGACACAGCGCTGGTGCTGCTGCTGCTGCTGCTGCTGCTGCAGGGCATGCACAGAGCACGGCCCCAGCACGGCCACCAGCCCGGGGACAGCCACAGCCACAGCGCCCCTGCAGCGCCCAAAGGACAGCCACAAGGCAGCACAGCCCACCTGGCAGCACCCAAAGGGCTGGCACAGGGCAGCACAGCCACTGCCAGCACCCAAAGGACAGCCACAAGGCAGACAACCCACGGGCAGCACCCAAAGGACAGGCACAGGGCAGCACAGCCCCCAAAGGACAGGCACAAGGCAGCACAGCCCCCAAAGGACAGGCACAGGGCAGCACAGCACCCAAAGGACAGGCACAGGGCAGCACAGCACCCAAAGGACAGGCACAAGGCAGCACAGCCCCCTGGCAGCCGTGACAAGGCAGCAGAGCCCACCTAGCAGCACCCAAAGGATGGGCACAGGGTAGCACAGCCCCCAGAAGACAGGCATAGGGCAGCACAGCCACTGCCAGCACCCAAGGGACAGGCACAGGGCAGCACAGTCCCTGGCAGCACAGCCCTGTCCCCACGCAGCCCGCTCCCCTGGCCGGCACGCCAAGGGCTCTGTGCTCTGGACGCAGGGCGTTTTCAGGAGGAGATGCAGTGGCAGCAGAGCCCCCACCCCGCCCGAAAGCAGGTCACCCTGGCTGGTGGCTCTCCGCAGGGTGCACGCCAGACCACCATCCCCACCCCTGCGGCACGGTGCCACCCGGGCTGGCACACGGGCAGGGGCTCCTGGCCAGGGCACGGCTGTCTCCCCACCTGGGCACATGCAAGGGGGCTCAAGCCGACACTTACCCAGCGAGAGCAGCAAGGTGAGGCCAGTGAGGAACAAGGTGGGCTGCGGGAGCCAGGCTTCCGGGCTCATTTTGACGGACTTTTGTGTGTGGAGAGGACGTGGTGTTGGTGTGGATTGTGGAGGTGGTGGAGGTGCTTTTTCGAGCCCTGCCCGGGTTATTTGCAGGTGACATAGAACATTAGAGCCGCTCGCTCCCCACAGCCCAATATGGCTGGAGCGGTGCTGAGGGGAAAAAAAGCAGTAAATGCTGTGGTTGGTGGATTGCAGCCGCCGGAGTGGGAGGGCGGAAAAATTTTCCCCTGAACTGCAGGCGACAGCTCCTGGCACTGCCAGCTCCCTGCTCTGTGGCACACGGTGGGTTCTGAGCCCCCGGGGGACACTGGGGACATGCAGGGGTGTCCCCTGTGCCCTGCTGGAGGCTGGCGGCCAGCCCTGCTCGCACCATCCACAGCAGCAGCTCCTGTTCTGGAGAGCCCCGGGGGCCTCCAGAGGGTTGGAAATGCCCTCCTGGAGGCAGGCAGAGGGCAGAGGGGCTGCTCCAGGCTGGCAGCAGCAGAGGGGCCCGAGCAGCCCAGCCAGGATGCCCCAGGTAGGCTGCAGCAGGTGGAGGTGCTCCTGGTCACCTGCCTTCTCCTGGACAGCTCCGTCGCTTCCATCGCTTCCAAAACTGCTGCAGGTTCCTTCCCCTTCTCCAGCAGCCTCTTGTCCCGGGATAACAGCTCTCCTCTCCCAGCCCCGGGACCGGGAGGCTCTGCCCAGCAGCAACAGGGCAGGAGAAAGTCTCTGCTCCCCTTTGCAGCCCCAAGGAAGCCTTTGGGCCCTGGGCCCACACCTGGGTTCCAGCCGCAGGGATGGGGGCAGGAAGACAAGGAGTGACCTCCTGGAGCACAGAGGGGCAGTGACAGCGCTGCTCAGGCCCCGGGACACGGCGTGTTTCCTGGGACAGCATCCCTGGGCACAGAGGCGAGGATTGCCCCAGAGCCAGGGCTGAGCTCTGTGCAGCAGAGCCGGGGAGGCAGGAGGGGTGCAGAGGGGAGCGATGCAGAGGGGAGCGATGCAGAGGGGAGCGATGCAGAGGGGCTCTGCTGCCTGACCACAGCCAGGAGGGGAAGCAGGACAGCCGGGAGAGGAGGCCCGGCAGCGTCCCGGCAGCGCTGCTCAGCAAACACTGCACGCACAGCACTTTGCCACCCTTTGTCCTGGGCAGGAAAAGCCCGCTGTGCTCTGCTGCTACGGCTAACACGACCCTCCAAAGGCCCTGTGCGACCCCCGGCCCCCCACCCCCAGCTCCGGGGCTGGCTGCTCCCGAGCTGGGTCCCGCGGCTGCCTGCGGGAAAAGAGAGCAGGGTGTCAACGAGAACCAAGGAGCGCAGCGCGGCGCTGCAGTGAGGCGGCGGCGGTGCGAGCTGAGGGGTCCCGGCTCCCTCCGCACCTGGAGGTGTCAAACATCTATAGATAGCGCCTGGCACCCGAGACAGCGCCCGGCACCCGAGACAGCGCCCGGCTCCCACAGACAGAGCGGGAGCAGCGCCAGAGCCCGCCCCGGCGCTGCCCCGGGGCCCCGGGAGGGGCGGCCGCGCTCCCCCGGCCTGCGCTGCCCCTCACCGGCGGCTCGCCCGTGGGCAGGGGACGCACGGCGGGGACCCCGGTGCCCTGCGCTCGGTGCTGCTCCCCTCAGTCCCCATCCTGCTGCCACGGCACCCCTTTGTTGCTTTATTGCCCCGTTTGGCTGTGCTGCCGCCTGGGGCTGGCGGGTGCCCCGTGCCAGGCTGCGCTTGGGTTCAGGGGCTCCCAGGCCCTGGGCCAGGCAGATTTTGGCACGCTTGGACATCACATGCTCAGGCTGGAGGTAAAACGAAGACGGCATCAGGGAAGGCTCCCTGAGTTTTATTATCTACACAAAAATACTGTGACGGCTCCTGCTGCGTCTCCCCCCTTGGGGATCCTCACCCGGGGCCAGGATCAGAGCTGGAGCGTGAGCTGTGCCCACCCTCTCGAGTCCAGGGGACAGGAGCTGGAGGGACAGGGGTCCCCTGGTCCCCCGCAGACAGCTGGGGTGGGCTGTGCCCCAGCAGTGCCGGGGCACACAGTGACGTGTCACCAGTTCTCAGTCCTCACAGGGACAAATGTGTCTCGGGCACACCTGGAAAAGGGCTGCCATGCCACAGCACAGCTACTTCTGCCGCTCTGGGGGCTGGGGAAGTGCCTCCTCTGGCCTGCTGTGGGGCTCCTGGCCGTGTCCATGCCCCTGTGCCCCCTCTGCCATCCATTCTGACGGGATGGCCCTCTTGGCCAGCTCCACGTAGACGCCGTTGTCCTGGCAGTGAGATGGGTGCTGCAGGGAGCAAGGGAAAGGTGTGAGCCTCACCACGGGTACCAGGGTGACTTTGGAGGGGGCAGGGGGCACGGGATGCCGGGGCCTGGCACAGGGAGTGAGGCCCTGTGTGCCGTGGCCCTGACGAGGGGGGCAGTGGTGTGGGGGTCCCACCACGCCTGCTGCAGCTCCTCACCATGGTTATGTATGTGTCCTCAGCTCTCCTCTTCTTCTTTGCTTCCTGCTCAGCCTTGGGCACCTCAGCTCCAGGGATTGAGGAGTAAAGTGCTTCCTGCGAGGGGCAGATCAGGCTCTTTGGGACTGAGCAGCCCGCAGACACACAGGGGCTGCCTGAGCCCAGCCACAGGACAAACTGCAGGAGCCACGGCTGGAGCTGGCCAGCAAACGACCCCCGGTGCCTGGGCAGGGTGGGATCCCCGTGACCCCTCAGCTCTCACCTCTGCTTTGCCCTTGCTGCTGCTCTTCCCCATCCTCTCCAGGGCTGTGACGGTTGCGAACCTCGAGGGAAGGCAGCGGCAGTGTCACCTCCGGCCAGAGCATCACCCGCTGCTCCTGTCCCTCCCTGCCTCTCCCGGGACATTGACATCCCTTAGCACACCCCCGGGCCGGGCTATCCGTGCTGCCGGCACAGCCCAGGAGGTTTGGGAGCCGAGGGGACACGGCCGGGGCACGGTGACACTAGATGGCAGCAGGAGGCTGGCACCCCACACCTGGGGAGCACCGGGGCAAAGCCTGGCCGGGGAGGGAGGGCAGCAGGGAGCTGCTTCCTCACCCCCTCAACCCAGAGCAGCGTTTTTACCTCTTCCTCACGCACAGCCCTGCCAGGAACGCCACCACCACGGCCACGCAGCCACAGCCCACCACTGCCGGCCAAAACCCGGAGTCTCTCGGGGGCGCGACATCCTCGGCACCTGCCGGGGGGGACACCGAGGTGGGGATGGCACCGCGGGGACCCGCAGAGCCGGGGCAGCCCCGGGAGGCGGCGGGCGGGGGGCATCGCGCACCTCTGGGCGCCGCGGGGCTGACGAGCAGCACCGTGCGGCTCCTGAAGACGCTGCTGGTCTCCAGCAGCCGCAGCTCGCACTCGTAGGTGCCGCTGTCGTTGAGACGCAGGTCCTGCAGCAGGATGGAGCCGTCCCAGCGGGAGGTGTTCCCCCGCCACTGCACCCGGTGCTTGAAGCGGCCCGCGGGGACGCCGTGGTTGCTGTAGTAGAAAAACACCATCTCCTCCTGCCAGGGCAGGTGCGGGATGGCAGGTGCGGGATGGCAGGTGCCTGGCCCTCCTCAAGAGCTCTCAGTTCTCACTTTCTCTCTGTCCCGTGCGCTCCCAGAGCCCGGCACTCCCAGGGAAAGCCCCAGGATGCACTCCTCCTCTCCTGTGCTCCCCCTCTGCTGTGAGAACTGCCCCCACACGGGCACCCTTCTTCCTCTCATGAAAACTTCCTCTCCTCATGGCCTGGTGACCACGATGGGCTTCCCCACAGCCTCCCCACAGCTGCTTCCCCACAGCCTGCCCACGGCTGTCTCACCCTCCCTCCCCTGCCACCAGCCCCGTGTCCCCTCTCCTGCCAGCCCTGTCCTGACCCACCTGCGTGCCAGCTCCTGCCTTGTGCAGCCAGTCCACCTTGTGCAGGGTCCATCCCTTGCTGTCGGGGTCCAGGAAGAGGCACTGCAGCAGCACGGAGTCTCCAGCCCTAGCTCGGAGCTGGGGCTCCGTGAACACCTCGGCAGCGCCGCTGCACCGCCCTGCCGGGGACAAGGACAGCAGGATGAGCCCAGGGAGGACGGCCAGCTGCAGCCTGCCTGTCCCCATCGCTCTCTGCTCTCCAGGGAAGCCTGGGGCTCACGGCCCTGAGCGGGGCAGAGGCCCAGCCCGTGCCTGACCCCTGCTCGTGGCGTGCCTGGGATGTGGGGCAGCACATCCTGCCGCCGCCACACCAAGGGCTGCTGCCCGTGGTGATGCAGCCGAAGGGGAGTTGGGAAGCACAACCCCTGCCCTCTCCACGCCTCGGAGCCAAAGCCTGCAGCGCCTGCAGGGCTGTGCCTGTGACTCACAGGCTGGGAGAACCTGTGCTGATCTCATCTGCACCAGGCCAGGGGCGATTCGAGTGCTTCACACGAATTTCAGTTCCTCCCTCACTACCCATTTGGCTTCTTTCCCCTTTGCTCACAGGCTCCAGACCTGGGCTTGTGCTTGTCTGGCCAGGTAGCAACAGCTTTCTAGAGTAGCTGGACAGTGGGGAAAAGAGCAAACCAGGGGAACACCAAAGAGCACAGAGCTGACAACATTCACAAGGCAGCTGCGGCTGACTGGGCTGCAGACTGTGTGGCAAGAAGGGGATTAAAAGTCTTCTCTGTACCAAAAGATTTTCTGAAATGACTGGGGCAGAAAACGTCACTGGAGCTCATCAGCCCCACGTGCCCCAGCCTGCAGTGGCCCTGCAAGGGGGGATGAGGCTCTGGTGCTGTTTGCTGAGAGCTGGCTGAGCTGATTCAGCTCAGGGGAGCTGCTCAGACAGGTAGGCTCGTCCTCGTGGCTGAGCCACTGCACCCAGCCTGTCCACAACCACCGAGGGCTGGGCCCTGGCCAAGCACCAAGTGTTTGTCTGAAACCCTGTAAATAATGAACGCAAAGTGCTGCAGCTTCCCAAACAAGTTCTGTTGGTCTTGACCAGGTGAGGAGCTGAAAATGACAAATATTTGCCAGCGGTGAAGACCAAGGGAGCTGCCTGCCTCGAGCAGAGCCAAAATCAATACCTTGGAAACCTCTCCCTGTGTTTAGACTTGGTGAAGCAGTTCTGCTTCTTTCAAAGCCTTGGAGCCTCAATCCAGGGCACGTCCAGGGATGGCAGTGCAGTTTGCAGCACACGCAGGCCCAGAGAGGGACTGGCACCCAGGAGAGGAGCAGCTCCACGGGGTTCTCACCACAGGAGGAGAGACACTGATGGCTCTGAGAGCAAAGGCAGAGGGGAAAGCAGAAGGGAATAAAACTCAGAGCTTACCCAGCCATGTCAGCACCAGGGCCAGGCTCAGCAACACCTTCATCTCCCTCTGAAAAGAACAGCACAGGTGACACATGCTCCAGTGTCCCTGGGGCAGGACACCGAGGACTGGCAGCCAGCTCAAGGTCAGAGGAAGACTCTGGTGTGCAGCCTCCAAGGCTGGGAGGCTGGAATTCAGCACAGCACAGAGGGCAGGGACAGGGCTCTGGTTTGTGAGACCTGGAAAGGAAGAGTGAACATGGGGGACAGGGCTCAGCCCCCTCATCTTTTCCTCTAAGTAAGTCACGATGCTTTCCGGTGGTTTAGTGGTCAAGCCTCTGACATCTGAGCTGAGATGTTCACAGGTGTTGACTCTGCTCATCAGAGAAGCTGGGTCCTAAATCAAGACCCCCTCCTCCAGATCTAATCCTTGCTCCTGGGTGCTGCACACCGTGACAGGCTCTGCTGGAGCAGCGCCACGTCTGATCTCTGGCTTCAGCTCGACCTGCTCCACATCTCTCAGGATAAAGCTGACATCTTTCTGCAGCCTGGATTTATCCTGCAGCCCGGGGAAGGACTGGCTGCCACCACCAGGAGCGTGCCAGGCAGTGTCCCGAGGCAGGCAGGGCTCAGCACCCTGCTGCCCTGTCCCTGCTCCACCACTCCTGGCTGTGCCCTGCTTTTAAGGGTGAGTGGTTACTGAGAGCAGCTCTCCTGCCCGAGAGCCCTCAGTGGAGCTGCAATTGAGGCTGCATTACAGCAGGTATTTTCCAATAATGCAGAAATGAAATAATAGAAAGACAAGAGCTGAATCATCTCTGGCATTTTGGTGGCTTCTCTCGTTTTGCTCCACTGTGCCAGTGAGAGGCTCAGACAGGGATTCCAGACCCAGAATCTGCTGCTGGGGACCCTTGGATCAGTTCTAGGCTGAGAAAATCACTACAGCTTTGCACCTTCATCACCCTGCCCTTTGCACAAACAAAAAAATCCTGAGAAGTGGCAGTAAACCTTCTGGAATTCTCTGCCATCTGCCTCTCCAAGCACAGGACCCCTCTGGGCTGGGTTTTTGCGTGCTTTGCTGTGCTCTGTGCAGCTCTGCCCTGACACACTTGGCTGCACAGCCGACCTACAAACACAGCTCCTGCTCAGCCCCAGGCACAGCACCCTGCTTTCCCAGAGCCACTGCCAAAACCTGCAGAGCTGCACCTCCCAGGACCACCCCCCTGGGAGCCAAAAGAGCAGCCAGCTCAAACCCAGTCCTGTCTGACTGCAGAGAGCTGAGATTTCTGTACCCAGAGCCTCCCAAAGCTCCCGGGGCTCTGGGCTGTATTTGCCACCGGGTCCTTGCTGGATTTATTGCCCTGGTTTCGAGGAGGATTTCTGGTCCTGGCTGGGAGCACGTTTTTGCAGGGTCTCCCCCTGTGACACACAGCAGGGAGAGGGTGCTGGGAGGCACCAGCTGGAGCCAGCACCCACTCACCAGGCTGCTCTGTGTGTGCCAGTGCTGACACATCCAGATCGCCTCTCCCAAGCAGACTGGGGGAAAGGGGCACAGCCACCACATGGCCTTCACATCCCCTGCTTTTGCACATGGCATCCCAGTCACCAGCACTTCTGCTCCCCCGGTTCTCTTCTCAGGAAAAACAAATGAAAAAAAAAAACCATCCAGAAATAAATATTACAGCAAAAATCACTCACCTGGAGTGGCCTGGAAAAGTCAGCTCGCCTTGTGTTCTTCAGCAGCTGATTCAGTGTCTGAATTGGGAATATCTGAATCAGTTGCTAAATCATCAGGAGGTTGCACATGCAAGGTCTTTCTTGGCAGGTTGTGTCTGATGGTCACTTTCACACGCAAGAGGAAGCAGAACAAGAAATTAGGATGTGCAACAGAGAGGGGAAACCAGCTGCAGACGCATCGGCCCGAGAGGGGTGATGGGGCAGCTCCAGAAGGCACCTGACAGGGAGAGCTGGGGCTCAGGCCCAGCTGAGGGACTGGCCTGACCAGTCACAATGACCAGTCCTGGACACAGAGGTTCCTGGCACACACCCTGTGCTCCCTCCTGCGTTGTTTTGGGACCGGAGCTGCTCAGAGAGCTGTCAGTGCTGCACCCTGGATCCCGTCCCAGTGAGGCAGCAGCTCTGGGTGACGTGGCTGTGCCTTCCTCCTGGGGCTGCCAGGGCCCTCAGCCTGCCTGCCACAGCACGGGCAGCTGCCTCCTTCTGAAACACAGCCCAGACTCTGATTTGCCTCTGCTGCAACCCCCCTGGCCACTTTGAAAGCCCATTCTCACCCTTCCTTTTTCCTTGAAACACCAGCGCAGATCCTGTGTTCCGTTCCAGCATCCCATTGTTCCCCATTCCAGAATTCTCTCCCTCCATTCCAGCACCCCACTGCTCCCCATTCCAGCATCCCACTATTCCCCATTCCAGAATTCTCTCCCTCCATTCCAGCATCCCAGTGCTCCCCATTCCAGCACCCCATTTTTACCCATTCCAGAATTCCCTCTCTCCATTCCAGTGTCAGTGGCTCCCATGGCACACTGCTGCAATAAAGCAGGCAGGACTCAGTTTTTTTCATGCAGAAAAGCCCCTTCTTTACTCACATAACTCATTTTTCACAGACCCTGTGTTCAGTTCCAACTGGCTAGCAGATTCCTTGCTACATTCCTTGGTTGGTAAATGGCATTTTACCTTTCTATCAAATCTCTCTATTCTTGGAATGTTTACATATTTTGTTCACTGATTCTCACAGGACAAATTTCTTGTTGTTACAAGTGCAGCCTGTTTTCCTCACTGGAATAGGTTGTTTGGTTAACTTATGAGAACTTAGGAGCTAGCTGCACTTAGGAGTATCAGGCCAGCTGGTAATTTAGCCTGATTTTAGGTAATTTAGGCCGGATTTTCTAAGGCCTTTCTTTTATAATATCTCTACTTGTATGCATCACCACACCAAGAAATCTCCATATGGGTGGCAGAGGAGGAGAAAGCCCAGCACCACTCACAGCTCCAAGGTGGCAGCTCAGCTTTGCACCAGGAATATTTGCCCAGAATCCACACACTCATGGCCAAGGAGGCAGAGCTGAAATGCAGCGTTTTTCAGCAAAAAAAAAAGAGCCTTTGGTGCCCCAGGGGAAGTCGTGAGTGCTGAGAGGGGAACAAAGCCACTTCCCCCGGGCTGTGTGATCCCCCAGCAGCCTTTCCCAGGAAAGTTTGGCTGACAGAGATATGTCACCAGCGAGCACAAACACTTGAAATATTGCTTTTTTAGTAGACAGGGGAAAAATGTATTTATCTGGAGACACAGATCTACAGCTGACCTACTTCTCAGGGAGAGCTTCACCACACCTGAAAGCTGCAGAGATGCTGAAGGGGGGCCTGGTACTTGTCCTCTTTAGGGTTAAATCTGCTCCCTAAAAACCTTTACCCATCATCAAACTATTTTTATAATTTTTACACCTCAGCATGGCAGTTTTATGGGTTCAGCTGTATTTAGCCAAATGAACAGACCCACAGCCCAGAATGGAATAATGCAATTTATTGGTAATTGCACAGCAAAGTCAGCAGTAAACCTGGAGCACATCTGGAAAAAGAGAATATTTGACTGATACAGAAAGAAAGCAGCTTTTTAGGGATTGAGTGGATGAATTCCACTGCTCTCTGCCATTCCTTGGTGGATAAGGCTGTTGAAAGAGGAAATGCCCTTCATAGAGGGGAAGTAATGCTGCACAGGGAACCATTTCCCTAAAACAGGTCCTAGAAGAAGGGAGGAAGAAAACAACTACTGCAAAGAGAACATTCCTTTGGGCAGTGCTTGAGTCCGTGGCTGAGGTAGATGGGGTTGTGTGTCCCCAGAAACAGAGTCCCCATTTGCATTTCTGATTTCAAAAAAGAAAAATAAATTGGTTTTTAATGAATTGTGCTTCGCTTCTACAGGTAGAAGGAGCGGTAGCCAGTGATGCAGCTGAATAAAAAAATAAAAAAAATACTTCAAAAGCAGTAGGTTCTCTTCACTCCAGCACAGAGGATGCCAGATATCACTTCATCAAACTGGTGTGAGTCAGCATGTTCCAAAAACCTGAGGATAAACCTTGGCAGTGCCCAGAGAGCTGGAGCAGCCTTTACTTCAAAAAGTTGGATTTCCAGGGCTCAGGAAAAGAGAGATGTCACCAAAAAACCAAACCAGTGAACCAAAGCAGCTTGCAGGAAAACCAAGGCACATTGGCACTGCAGGCCCTGGGGCTTCTCTGGGCCCCACAGATCCGAGGGCAAGGGATTCTCTTTTCCCCAATAAATGAGAAAGATTCTTAGAAAATCGTTATTTTGTGTTTAAATAGAACTGAATTATCCCATCAGCATTATTCCTCCAATCCACCAAGAGCAGAGCACGTCCTTCAATCTGCACTGGTTAGCCAGCAGCCTCTGGGGGGTCTAACCACGATTTTCAGTGCTGTAATTTTAGTCTTTTTCCACAGCTTCAGTCAGTAGGGATCTTCCTCATCTGTGTCCTAAACGGGGAACAGGAGAGAAACTGAGATTATGTGTGAAGAAATGAACCAAACCATGAGTTCAGCCACAGGCTGAGCCTGGCTGGGCTTCTGGCAAGAGCCTGAACGCTTCCCAAAAATCCTGCTGTGCTTGAACAAGCCAGAGGACTTGCAAAATCACTGGTAGAAATAAATATAAATATAAATATAAATATAAATATAAATATAAATATAAACATAAATATACAACTATAGAAATATACAACTATAGAAATATACAACTATAGAAATATACAACTATAGAAATATACAACTATAGAAATATAAATATATATATGAATATAATTATGAATATAGATATAATATAAATATAACTATAACTAAAATGTTTATATATAGTTATATACATACAAATATATAAATATAAATATAAGTAAAAGCACTTAATCTGTTTGACCTCTCCCAGACACAATCACCATGCTGTAACCCACAGGTGAAAAGCATTTTAAGGGAAGCAGCAGCTAAAGATGAGGCAGAAAGTGCAGCACAGCCCTGCAGAGACAGCCCTGAGCAGCCCCAATTTTTGGCTTTCAGCCACTTTTAGAAGCCCCCGGTTGCTGTGACCACAGCAGGTGTTTGATGGTGTCCCCACAAGCAGCTCTGAGCTGGGAGCTCACCCAAACACCTCAGCTCTGCAAGGCTGACACTGACACCCAGATATTGCAGGCTAAAGAGATTTTCAATTGGCTTCACAATTTTAATTGTTTGGTCACATACGAAGCACGAAAAAGCACGTTAGAGAAACCTCAAAACTGCAGAATTGTTAAAAGTGAGAGGGCAGCATTCTCAGACCTGAGCAGGTCAATATTTCAGTAGCAGACAGCAAAGGATCACACCTGACAGAGCACTGCTCTCAGGGTTTTATCCCTCCAATCTGACCCCTCCCAGGGGATCAGAGGACAGTTTTCAACTTTTAAGATCTCCCATGTCCTGACGGCATTTCCTCACCGAGCTGGGGCTCCATCCTTCCCCCTCTCTCCTGCGGGCACCTCCCTGGTTCCAGAACATCCCCTGGCACAGCCCTCCCACCTTCCGAGGCAGCTTTCCTGCCTCTCTCACCCCTCCAAAACCTCGTTCCCAGCCCCCAGCTCTGCGCCTGCCGTGTCTCATGCAGAACTGTAAATATTTCATGTACAACTTACGTAATTGCCTGTTTTTCATCCCGTACCTAATAGAAACCATCAGCACACGCCTGTCTGAAGGCTGGGGCATTTAGGACGTTTAAAATCACTGGCATTAGGAGAGTGCATCAAACAACACATATTTAAACCCTCCTTAACTCACGTCCCGAGCGTGTGCATGAGAGGCAAAGGCGCCCCAGAGGGAAATGTGCCCTGTGGGACACCCAAAGAATGAAAGCCCTCTCGAATTGGGCATTACTCTGGAATGTGGCTGCCCATTCCAGCAGGCAGGACTCACACAAAACAAGGGCAGCAGCTGGCAAAAGCACTCAGGGGCGGGAGCACAGGCACTGATTAACAGGAGCTGCTGCTGGGCTGGGGAGGGAAGCAGCAGAATTAGAAGGCGCGACAGACAAAAGGCTTCAGAGAGCGCGACAAACAAAAAGCAGAAACAAACAAACAAACCGCGAGGGTTTCGCAACGCTCCGCTGGATGAGAAGGAGGTGAAAGGAGGAAGATGTGCAGCAGCTCTGCAGAAACACAGAGGGCTGGGGGGTCACTGCCTGCCTTCCCCACCACAGCACCGCCAGCCCCAAGCTGCTCGGGCAGAGCCCCTGAATAAACCCCAGAGCAGCTGGCACTTCAGCCCTGATTTGTCATCTCAAAGTGACAGCTTTGACTCAATCAAGCCCAGAAAAATCGGTTTGATGGATCTCAGGACAGCTTCCCCAGCAGTTCCACCAGCAGCTCTCACTCCCTGCAGCCGAGGAAGCTCCGAGGAGCCTTTGGCACAGCCTTGGACACCCAGAGGTGTTGGGACACTCCACCTGCCGCTCTCAGCACCTGCTCTGAGCACTCAAGTTGGCAAAAGCGCTGTGAAAACACCAACTTTCACTTACCACGCAGTTCAGGCACCACTCCTTGAGTTTCCCCCCGCAGCCAGCTGTGTCTGAGGGCTCAGGCCTGCAGGGAAAACACAGCATCAGCTTGGACTTTCCCCCCAGACACTCCAGTGCCTCCTCTGGACTGTGAATTCTGGTGGCACCACACGGTTTTCCATGGTGAGGAAAAGCC